TCTTTACTACCAAAGATCTACTTTTTAACTTTAGGTTTTGCAATTTACTAAGATGGGGCTGAGGGGGTAATGGACCATCTTGAACTGACACTATGAAGGTAAATAAAATCTCATCCGTGACCTCTAAGAAACCTCTAAGTGACTTTTAAAATTCAAAATTTTAAGGTATACATACTTACTTGGCTCTCAATGTTACATACCACTTAATGTAATATTTTGTTTATTCAATAGTTATGTTAATTTGGAAGTATCACCGAACTCTTCAATCAAGATAAATAATGATTTTCCAAATAGATTTTGGACTCTAAAGGAAGAAAGATTTTCTTTCTTGAAATTACGTGATTTTATTCTGCAGAGAAAACTCTTTTAAATGAACTATTACTGTATTCTGGTCAACTTAAATTCCAGATTAATAACTCCATGTAATAGACCAAAAATGCTATTCATAAATAGCTCCAGAGACAGACTTATATAGAGACAAGGATTGTTGACCACTTCAAATAAATCGAATCAAATCAGATACTTAGAACATATTTCAGAAGAACAATATTCATTTTATCTTGGCTCCCTCAAATCCTTTCTGGAACAAGGTCAAGTGTAATAAAGCAAAAATCATGTAGGGACAAATGAGCCATCTCTCTAAGATCAGAATTTTTAATGCTTCACTTACTTTAGTTGTCCTGTGTCCTTTTGTAGATAATAACCCATACGTGTCATTTAATGTGATGTTTCTCTATAGTGTAATAAGATAATCTTATATAGAAAAATTCAAGCTGAGCAATGGCTTTAAAGAGGTTCTTAAATTTTGAAGAAAAATTGATCACATATTTCTGTATATTTTGGTACACTGGGGGTTTCTGAAATTGATCAGAGTAATGTATTACAGTGTTACACTATTTATGCAATGTGGTGGATGTCTTAAATCAACTTAAGTTCTTGAGAACGTAGATTTTTGGTTCAGGTCTGAATTCAAAGGAAGATTGTGCCTTTTATTAACTTGGGTTGATTATCTAATCTTCATTTTTCTCATCTGTACAATGGGAATAATGTCTACCAGACAAGCCTCTTGTAGGAATTTAACAATATGATGAATTTTAAAAAAACTAGAATTCCCTGACATGTGGTCGGTGCTCACCACATGGCAGTATATGCTAAAATTACTATCATGGATCAAACCTTTGATTTTTCTGTATATGCTGCCTTACAATTATAACAAGAACGTGTTGAAAAGAGTAAAAAAGTGGATTAGGGTTTTTAGCACATCCTTGGGGAATCTGGTATGAAAAAGAAATATTTAATATGTTACACTGTGCAGATTTCCTTCATATGGTTATTTTATATTTCTCCTGGAGTAACAACTCAGAAGTTCAATCACAAAGAAGGCCATTGGATAACCTTACCCAAATTAGGGATAATGACAGTCTCTTACAATCTTTAGATGTATTAAAATATATAGGCACATTTTGAATATATAATACCATTCCAGGTTTTACATAAAAGAAGCCTAGATTTCCATGTATATTTATCTATTCAGCTGTTGTTTGGAAAAGAAAAAACAATTTATATTTAGAAAGACATTGAAGGCAGATCCCCCATTTGATTTTTCTGTATCTTAAACTCTTGGGTTTGGTGGTCATGGAGCTTCATTGTTCTAAGCCACTGTTGTTTCTTTTTGGCTTAAGGAAAACCTTATTTTATTTATTTATTTATTTATTTATTTTTAGCTAAAGCACTGCTAAAATTTAATTTCCAACTTCTACTAGAAGCTTCAGATTTTAAAGACTTTCCTTTAATTAAACATTTGGAGTGAGAAATCCATTTTTTATATAGGCAGTGCTCACTAAAAGTGTCAAGTATAATTGAAATATGCACATTTTTCTAGTATAGATCTTATATATCTCAGAGGGTAGTGCCTTTGTTCTTTCCCAATTAATGTTGTCCATAACAAATTTCTGATGGTGACTCGTTACTGTTGCTAATTTAGTGTGAGACGTTTGGTCATAATCCTAAACCATCATTTGGGATGAAATTCTTATAAAATAATGTTTTTTTAGTCACATTTCATATCAAATGAGACACTGACAAAGCTTTCTTTTAAAAAATCAGTTACAAACTTGACTGCAAGAAAAGCAGAAAACATGGATTCCAAAATGTTTTGGTAAAGGCATTATTCCATAAGGTAGCTAGTGTATGGCAAGCAACAACAACAAAAAACATTTAAAAAATGGCACCATTCTAAAATCATTGGTTTGCTTTGTCACTTTTAGTAGGTAGTTATGAATGCAAAATGTTGATGCCCAGTACAAAATGCCAATATAACCAAACGGATTTCCCTCATACAAAGCTCTTCTCTGTATGATGTAGTTTGTCATACCCTACGCAAGGATAACTTTTTGTGAGTAAGGCAACATTTTCTGCCCTAGAGGACAATGGCAACTGTGGTAGGTTGATTTCCCCCAATCTATCCCTTCTGTTTCCCACACACACTCTTTCTGCCTCTGAGTGATTTTATAGGTTACTTAAGGAAAGGCATTTACAGATGGTGAGTCTATCAAGTATAAAATAGAATCTATATTTTGCCTGATAAATAAATAGTCATGAGAAAACACTTCTAGTTGAAATCCTCCAATGTATTCCTTTCTGTGAACCATCTTAAAATTAAAGGTCTTATAAGTCTAGATGATGTGTGAATTCCTGCATTATTAGGAAGGCTCTATTTTCAGAATATCTTAAAAATTTCACCCGCATAAGGAAATTTGCCCGAGATAAGCTGGTGGTGTATATTATTTGGAGACATGAGCTAGACATTGTAATCTTGAACTGGGTAAACCAAGCCCAAGTGTTTAAAATGAAAGTTTTCAAGAATTTTAATTACTTTCCTGTTCCAGAGATAAAAGAGATGTTAATAGTGCACTTTTGGATTTTTCTAAACCACAGTATTATCCGATTTATTGGACCTTTGGGGTGGTGGGGAGTGAACAAGTTTCTCCTTAATAGTTAAGCCTTTTTTCATGGGGTGCTGAAACAATAGCACATTCAGAATTATTACCGTGAGAATTCAAGTGATTCAACTTTAACAACCGAATGCACTTTTTTTCTTCACAAGTAAATACTGTAGATTAAAAGTGTGCTGAAATTACTGTTAATGCTTTAGCAAGAAGAGTGGTTGTTTCATTCTTTGGCAAGACTCTTTCATTACCGTAATTTTCAAGCGTGCTGAGGTGTCCTAATGTCTCTTCTAATTGCTTGAATGTCGCTGACCTTTTTTTAAAACTACACACAGCGCCCATAATATGCAAGGGAGGCCTAAATTAAGTAGCAGCACCAAAATGCATCCACCAAACAAAGGCTCCTCCTCAAGGGGCCCCTTACGGAGAGAATCTTTCCCGATATTTTCCAGTAGGGGGAACTAGAGACTCACCATCAGCATTTAGCTCGGCTCAGGGACCCGCGTGCGTTCCTCTAAGCCGCCTTCTAATCATCTGAACAGGCATCAAACAGCTACCAGCCAGCCTGTGATCACACGTGGGCCCGGCCACACCGGGGCACCGCCGACGCTGGCATCCCTGTGATCTCACGCGACCTTCCTTAATCATCCCCGGTCCTGAATGGCATCACTTGGTAGCCTTGGCCTTAACGTTCAGGGTTTCGTCGTCTTTGGGCTGAAATTCGGCTTCTTTTGGAGCTTCCATGAGCTCAGCTGGGTTTTCAGCTTCCACACCCAGAGCCTGCGTTTTCCGAATGTCCTTCTGGAGGTGCGGTCTCTGGAGGGGAGAGACTTCGGGACCCCCGCCCCAGGCTCTGGGATCCCCGCTCCCCTGCTTTGCACCTTCTGCGGAACTCCCTCGCGCTGCGCGATCGCGCATCAAACTCATCTTCGAGGGGTCACAAGGCAACTGAGTAACCCAAGGGGGGTGCCACCCCTTCCTCCCCCTCCGCCCCTTGGGGATGCCGCAGGGGGCCGTAGATCTTGGCTAAAATGAGCCGCCGGAGGTTACTGATTTCTGCCCCCCTCCCTTTTCCCCCTTGTGCTTTTTAACCGTATAGGAAGCATCTATCCACAACCTTCCAGTCCAAAAGGTCTTATATTGCGTTTCCTTCCCTTGCCTTCCTCCTCCTCGGCTTCTCATGTGGCTCAAAGGTGAAGAGTGTGTGTGATTTTGACGGGTAATGAGGCTGCGCCCCGGGTCCCGGAGGGTGAGCTCCTTCAAGACCGCGCCGCAGCTCCGGAGACGGAGCGATGAATAATTAGGCCGGGCTTCCGTGAAATCGCTCACCGAGAAAATTACCTGCCCATTAAACGGGACGCGGCGAGGAGCAGGCGCTGGAGCCCACCTCTGCCCTCCCGAGGCGGGAAGGAGGGGCACGCGGGGCGCGGAGAAGGGGACGGAGTGGACCCGGGCCTCGGCGCTGGGCAGCCGGCCGGGCCCCCGCATTGGTCCGTCTCGGTCCGCCGGGACTCTCCGCTCTCCGGGACCCTCCGGCTCCCCAGCGGGCAGGCGCCCCCGCGTGGGCGGGCGGGCGGCGGAGTCTGCGGGCGGCGGACGGGGTCTGGAGGTGGAGGCTCCGCGCGCCCCCGCCGCCCCCGCCCCTCCCCGGGGCACACTCCGAGCCGCGTTCGTTCCTCCCCGCCCCTCCCGCCTCCTCGCCTTCCCTCCTCCGAGTGCTTCCACCCGCGGCAGCTGCCGGAGGAGGCGGACGCTCCGGGCCGGGCTGCCGGAGCAGCGGCGGGGACCGGATCGCGGGGACCGGCGGCTGCACCGGGCGAGCGGCTGGACCGCCCTGGCGCTGGGCTGAGCGCTGCCTGTCTCCGCCGCTCCCGGGCTGGGCTCACACGCCCGGCTCTGCCCGCGCCCGCAGCCGCCGGGTGCACCTCGCTCAGCGGCGGCCCCGCGGGGTGGCTGCAGCCTCAGCCTCCGCCTCCGCCCCCGCCCGGCCCCTCCCTCCCTCGCTGGCTGCTTCCCTCGCTCGCTCCCTCCCCGCCTCCTCCCGCAGCCCCACCACGTAGGAGTTCGGATTCTCCACCCGAATCGTCCTGATTTCCCTTTGCCTCTCTTTTGGAAACGAGAGAGGTGGAGGGAGGCCACCAGGCTGCAAAGGAGAGAGAGGCCCGCCAAGTCTGCCCGCCTGCAAAGTGTTGCTTTGACACATCCTCATTATGGAAGTTAAGTAAAAATATATACATATTAAAAAATAACTCCGGACGTGGATTGCTACGGAGAAGGAAACCGGGGGAAAGAAAACCAGTAGGCAGGCCCATGGTTTTTCGGCAGCGTGCTGGCAAGTTTGTGGAACACTTTCTAGGAATTAGGTCTTTTCCTCCCCCTTCATCATCTTGACTTCTGAAGAAAGAACTTGGCTTTGGCTTGCAGTGGAGCCTAAGGAGAGAGGGTTAGACACACTTGAATCATCCCTCTGGCTGGGCTGCATTTGCGGGAATTTAGGAAGCCAGAGTGTTGGAAATACAGCAGCCTTCGAAGTGCCCTCTGTTAATTTGGATGGATCTAAACGTGCCCCGTTCAAGACCTTTCCACCGGCCCCTTCTGATCTTGCGATTTGCTCTTCTTGACTTTAATTAGTATCTAGGAAAGTCTAAAGTTTGGACCTACCTCTTTTTTTGATACTTATTTTTGTACTTTTGCTCTCTGGGATTGGTTTCTTAAACAATCTGGATCCTTTTTAATATGTCAAAATGAGTCTGCTGATGTTTACACAACTAATGCTCTGTGGATTTTTATATGTTCGGGTTGATGGTAAGTTAAAAATGCTTTTATCTTTTTTTTTTGCGCCCCCCCACCCCCCAATCCCCCAAAACCATTTCTTTTAGAATTTGATGTGGGTTATAGATGAAATGACAGTATGTCTGTTTGTCCGTTTTGGCCAGGCACGGGCTCCTTGGGGGCAGAGGTTTTCTTTAAGTCTTTTGTTTCTAAACTGCTGCAAGTGGAACATGTTGGTAGTCACCTATTGTTGTTCTTGTTGTTGTAATTTACTTAATTAATTAAGGAGTTGGGTAATAAATGATGCTTTCCCAGTTTTCTTAGAAAAAGAAATATTACAGTACATCTCCTGAAAGAGCCTAATACTATTGTGCCTGCTCTCTGTTTGATGTTTGCTCTTGTGTCTGAACTTTGGCTTAGACATTCAAGTGAAGAAATACAGTCACAGACACTCTAAGGAAGGTTCAATGGGTTAGGAATTGGAGACTGAGATCAGTGTGTATCACCTGTGTTCCAGTGAATGCTCTCCTGGCGTTAAATCAGAAGGAAGAATTTAGATCCTAGGGAGAAAACTGTCAAAAGTAAGACTGGGCGAGGCTCCACGAACGAGGAAGCATCAGCTATGGGCTGGCTACAGGAGTGGGACACTTAGCTCAGTCCGCAGTGGCAAACACAACGGGGGCCTTAAACAGGTGCTGTAGGTGTCTCCCTCTAGGTTGAGTCAGTCTGTCAAGCCCACAGCATTCTGCCTCTGATTCCCTTGTCTTTTGTTCCGATTTGGTTTACTGGGATATTTTCACAGGATGTCAATTTCTTGTGCGACTATTGCAAAATCCTTTTTTGTGGCTCTTTTGAATGAATAGTGGAAATAATCGTTAACATGCTTTTTGGTTTGTATTCAAAAGAAAAAGTTCAAAGAATATTTGCTATTAACCTTCTAGAGGGTTTAATTTTTATATCGATGGAAATAATTGGTATAGAGGAATACTAGATTTTTTTTTTTCCTAACTGGATTGCAGTACTTTAGGTTTTTAATTACTTACTGTACTTGTAAAGAACCTAAAGTGTATTAGTCCAACTGTTCGAGCCATCACAATAGCTTGATGCCACATAAACTTTCCTCCAGCATTTGCATTGTGGATGAATTCATTATTTGGGACACTGCCTATTTTTGCCCATCTGTGGTAGCTAACTTTGTTCCTGGCAACTAACTGCTGCGTAGAGCCCAATGTATTGGACTCAAAAAGGAAGGCTTTCTATAAACATGAGGCAATACAGATGAGTTTACCTACTGTCAAGTGGCTGTTTTCAATCATGGACTACATGAGTACCTTTGCCCCCCAGCGATAGTAGGGGAGGGATGCATGTGTGTGCACTGCTTCTCTCTTTTCCCAGTCTAAGCCGTAGACGTTCAGGGTTTAATTATTGTGAATTATACTATGGCAACATCTGTAATCATTTTTCATGTATTTTCAGTACATTAAAATACATGTACATTACCATAACAAAGTAGGTTTACCTGTTTGTCCCAGGTGTGTTTGATTTTCATGATAAGAAGACTTTGGTATAACTTTTTAAAGAATATGTCCTCATAAATCATGAATTTACATATCTCCATAACAGAAATGCATGTATAAACTATACATTAGACTACAGAATTATCATCAAGGGTTTTTTTATATATGTATTTTTAAATCAGTGTGTTGCTAGGAGGAATACAATTAAATTGCTCAGTGGAAGTGACAGAGGAAATCAAAAGAGCTTGGTGTTACAGAATGTAATTAATATACCAGGGTGTTTGGAGATATATGAAACAAATGCAATTAACCAGCTTGCTGGAACAGCAGTAGCAAGTCATCATTTCTGTCTGCTTTCCCTCCCTCCCTCCTTTCATTTCTCCCTCCCTCCTTTCTCTTTTATTCCTCTCTCCCTTCTTTCCTTCCTTCTCTCCTTCCTTCTCTCCCACACCACCCTTCTCCTGCCCCCAAAGACAACCTAGAACCTTTGTTCTGATTTAACATTATAGGATAAGGGGGCAGTTTCTGTCTGGGCCACAGTTATGCAGCAGAATTCATAGTAATGTAGTGAAAAATGCCAAAATTGAGGAATTGAGACTGAAAAGGCAGTGTTAAATTTTTTGTATGTGAAACTAGTTTTGTATTTAGCATCTGCTGTGTCAATAGCAAAGGAAACCCTGGACACTCTTACTAAATTAGTATGTAAATCATACGTTTGACATTGGATTGCCTTTGGATACTTCAGAATGACAGTTTCTCCATGGGGATGGTTGAAAATTGGGGATGTGGACAATACTGCCCTCTAGGCTGTTTCAACACTTTGAGACTCAGTGTTCACGTACATAGTGAAGAGGTTGGTTTGTAGGATCTCTCAGCTTTGTCTCTCTTCCAGGATTCTATGATTTCTATTCACTTATTCTTCTTAGAGGTGTGTGCTTATACTCCACATGAATTTCAAATGTAGAGAAGCTTGTACCATTTCAAAGATATACTGACCCTCCTTATGCTAGACACAGATATTAATTTTATTCAGTGACAAATGATACATAGATTTGCATTGATATTTGCTTGGTGGGTTATTTGTATGTGCATTTTTATAGTATATGAAAAATGTTAGAGTTTTGCCACCTCATAGAAGCTATGTGCTAATATTGTTTATAATTTTTCGCAGTATCGTGTCCCTGTAGCAATCCATAGAGAACAAATATTAAGTTGGTTGAGAACTGTAGATAAACTTTTCTATTTGGGATGTAAATAATGGTTTTCTTATTGATGCAGATTAATCACATCTAGACTTTTCTGTATGATCATATAGGAGAATGTATGTTAAGGTTAGCCTTTATTTTCCAGCTTTTCTTTATTTTTGAATAAGAATAGGGTTTTGCAGTCATTCATGGGGAATTAATATGAACTATGGCAAGACTTTTAACTTACATCTATATCCCATATATTGTATCAATCTGATAATTTTATAATACTTGTGGAAAGGTGTTTTAAAATGAGAATTTTTTTTCATCTTTACCCTTTATTCTTAAGTGAAAGTGGCCTACATGATATTAGGGGAGATAAATATAATAAAGATAATGTATGTGCATAATGCAGATGTGTAATCTCATAGAGGTTTATACATGTTGCTAAAGTGCTTTTTTTCAGTAATGGGCTTATTATCATAGCCATATGTAGTCTATTTCAGAACGTAAATTGTGTGCAAGTCACCTGGAATGTGTTCTCGAAGCTATGCCGTGATGCCACTTGGATTGGCTTTGTTTGAATAACCTTTGATGCTATGCAACATGTGGGCCATAAACCAAAAGGATTTCTTAGAACATTAAGCAAGAATATCGTTAAAAAAAAAAAAAAAAGTAATGATGATATAAAAAGAGCAGTTCTGGCCATCTCACCACTGAGCAGCTTGTATAAAATAGCATGTTTGACAATCAAAATATAGGCATGTAAGCACATTGTATAAATTGGGATACATATATAGCAACGAAGGGAGCTGACGTAGGTGGGATATGTGTGTGTGCCTAGTAATATCTGCTGAAATAGTTCCGGCGGTCTCCAGGAGGTACATTTACTTCCCATGTGCAATTTGTTTTCGAAGAGTATCAGAAAAAAAGATTATCATCTTATTTACTATTTCTCCGTTTCCTCCTTTTTTCCCTCCTTCTCCTCTCCTTCTCCTCTCCTTCTCTTTCTTCTTCTCATTCATCGTTTCTTTCCTTATCTTCTTATTCTCTTCCTCTTTTTTTCTTTTTTGGATCTAATGAAAGGAATTAGAGAAACATTTGAAGAGTGAAGAAGATACGTGAGGGTGTTTCTTGAGTGATAATTTAGAAAATCTGTATTTAAAGGAAAAATGAGAATAATATTTTACCTTTAGGTATATCCAACTGGGGTTTTGACTTTCTCACTTTTCCCCCACAATACTATATATAACTTTATGCAGAATGCATTGCATAGATCCTATCATTTTCTAGTTTAGATAAGTAAAAGTTTTCAGATCGGAGTTTAAGCAAACAGTGATTTATAAAGTGCCATTTTACAGATTTATTTCTAAAGAAAAGTGTTGCTGTGTTTCTTACAATGTCTCCAGGTATAGATCTGTCAACCTAAATCAATACATTGGCGTGGATACTGCTTTTCTTCTTCTTTTGAAAAAATACTATATAAAGAATGAAGGAATGATTATAAACTCTTTTTTAAAAATAAATACTCATCAACTCTATTAATGTTTTAGCAGTGTGTTATACAATGATAGAAGCATAATATAGCAACTAGGGTAGCATGCTTACCCAAAATACCTGACTCAAAACAGTGTGGGAGTAATGGAGGCCTCCATCCTTAATGTTTTCTCTGCCATTTGCAGCTACTCCTTAGGATCTTTCATCTATCACATGAGTTTTAAATACATGTTTGGTTTGATAATTCTAAAATTGCCGTAATCATTGCATGAGGGATATAAGATCCATAAGCACATAACTTGGCCGTTTCATATTCTGTTGTATCTCCAGTGCTTGCATCAGTGCTTGACATACTCACCTGACTACTTGACGGCTTTGCTTCATGTCCAATGAGAATACACAAAACTCAAGGCTAAGACAGAATCTTCTCTTTCTAGCCATTCCCATCGCAGTAAATGGCTTCCACCAGTCACGGACTTTTTCGTGACCCCCAATGAGGAACCATTCTTCACTTGTTCTCACAACTTGTATTCAACTTGTTCTCAGAATTGTACAACCGTCACTACAATCTAACTTTAAAATGTTTTTAATTACCCAAGAAAGAAACTACGTACCTTGTTCCACCATCTTTCTACCAACCACAAGAAACCACCCCTTTACTTCTATCTCTATGGATTTGTCTTTTCTGTACACTTTATATAAATGCAATCATACAATATATGATGTTATTTTGTGACTAGCTTCTTTCCTTTAGCATAATGTTTTCGAGGGTCATCCATGTCATAGCATGTATCAGTACCTCTTTCCTTTTTATTGCCAAATAATATTCCAT